GGAGACTCTCCTCGTTCCTATTATGATGATTCGCACTACAACAAAATTGATTTTTAACGACCAAATTTTAACGAAAGAATATAAATCCAGTCGTTATAGATATATATATTCCGTCACAATTTTTTTCCCGTCGTTAAAAGGCAATTTTAATATAATATTAACGAAAGAACAATATCCGAACTCTAAGAAAATTAATACCCAGACGTTAATAATAAACTAATGACACATATTAATACCTAGACGTTAATAATAAACTAACGACACATACTTTTATTTTAATTAACAACCCATTTTATTTTAACCCTTTTATATTTAACAATTTATTTATTTTTAACAAATAACTTATCCTCTATTACCCTATCCACCCACCCATCAGAACTAGGTCTCCCATTACCCCCACCTATCCGTGAGAAAACATCGAGCTCCAGAGAGATGATGAACAATCTTCTCGATTTTTCCGCTCACAAACTTGCACCACGCACGCCACCTTCTCCACCACTGTGATGAGATGCGGCAGTTTCTCAACACATCGTCTTTCTCTTACGCTAGAATGTGAGATACATAAGGGAGATAACTCATAGAACTGATTTGTTGGAGAAAAATCAGCAAAACAGACCACGAAAAATCTGGTACCTTTAACTCCAAGTATCTGTTCAAACTCTTATAAAGGAAATCAATGCCATTTTTTTCTAATTGCAGAAGTCAACTTTCGTTTTTGACTCTAAATTTCACCTGATTGTTGTTGTTCTTTGCTGTGTGTTACGCTAGAAAGTGAGATACCTAAGGGATCTAACTCAGAGAGCTGATTTGTTGGAGAAAAATCAGCAAAACCGACCACGAATATTCTGGTACCTTTAACTCCAGGTATATGTTCAAACTCTTATAAAGGAAGTCAACGCCATTTTTTTCTAATTGCAGAAGTCAGCTTTCATTTTTTACTCTAAATTTCACCTGATTGTTGTTGTTCTTTGCTGTGTGTGACAATAATTACGCATCTTTTTGGAGTTCCCTTCTTTTTAAAGTATGTTCTTTTGATTTGACTATGAATTGTTAGGTGAAAATTCTGGTTGTGCCCAATTTTATGTTTATTCTTTATGAATAATCTAGTTGTTTTAAGTAGGTTTTTGTTGTACATGATCTTAAATTATGTATACTAGTCATTTCCAGCATATGTTTGTGTGTACTTTTTGCAGTAGCCTCGATTGATAATAAAAGAAGTCGCAATAGTGATAATTATTGAATAAATTTGTCAATCTGAAATCTGATAATTTCCAGGACAAAATTTTCATTATCCTTCACAAGTGTAATTCTACCTTATAATATGATACATTTTTTTATGTAAACTGTGGAGATTAGGTTTCGTTAATCCGATTTTCTTTACTTTTTTTTTGTTGTTCTAGTCAAAACACAGTAGTTGTAGCACTAATATGAGTTCAAAATACTAACTTTATTATAACAACGAGAGTGGTCGAGGACCTGACCTTTTATGTACATACACTGCAATCTTTGCAAAAAATTTAGCAAGGAGGAATTCTATATATCATCTTTTTGATAATCTATTGTAACTTTAATACAATAACTTACAAAATATTAGCTTTGTCACAAGTAAGTCTGTTGAAAATTTTAGCCCTAGTCTTATTGGGTTTGTTTTATCTGTGTTGCTTTATTACTTTATGATTATGATATGTATCTACATGTACAAGTATACATATTGAATTTTTCCACCGTGGGTATAAGATTCATTCTCAAAGCCATTTCTTGGTTAAGCAATAAATAACTCATGATTTGATAACGAGTCACAACAACATTTTGATGTACATATGGAGTTGAGGTTGTAATATTGCCTTTCTTTTTCTTTTTTCTTGAACTAGAAGTATCTCTTTGAGTATTGTCTAGTCATTCAAAGAAAAGACATATTTCTTTGGTTCAGGCTCTTACATTATTGTTATGTTACATTAAATGCTTACAGTGTAACATTTCCTTGCATTATCGTTAAGTTGATGACATTTTTATAATACATGGTTCTGCCCTGCTTGGATTGACTCCACTCCCTTGTATTCTACTTCTTAATTTTGGGTCTGCTTCTTTTTTTGATAAGGTAACTTTATATTCACATCAAAACTCATCAGCAAAGCCTGATGAGGTGGGATTTACAGCCCCAGGGGGTAATTTCAAAAGCCAAAAACTGGGCAAAACTTTACAATTGAGCTTTAAAATCCACTAAGCTAGCTACCTCCCCCGCCAAATCCTGTTTACACCAAAAATACAGCAGGCTCAAGCTATTCATCTTGATTTTCTGAGTGCTGTTAAGTTTCCCATCATGTGATCTTTCATTTCTTTCCTTCCACAATGTCCACCAGATGCAGGCTGGGATGCATTTCCACCAGTCCTCTTTGGATCTTCTTCTTCTGCCCACTCCTTCCCACTGTCTCAACAACTCTAAAGTAATCTTGGGCATTACCCAGTTAACTCCAAGTATACATAAGAACATGTCCCACAGATTTGCAGTTGTTCTGCAGTGTAAGAATAAGTGACTATTAACTTCTGCCTCTTCCCCACACATGAAACACCTTGAGCAAATCTGTATACCTCTTCTTTGTAACACTTCATGAGTTAGACATGCTTTCCTAATTGCCAACCAAATAAAACCTGAGACCTTGTGAGGAACCTTGATTTTCCAGATTAGTTTCCAAGGCCATTCCATTTCCATAGCCTGATTAGAGTTTAAGCTCCAGTAACAAAACTTCAAAGAAAAAATCCCTTTCTTGTGCATTTTCCAGATTGGAGTATCAGGACTTTCAGTGACACCTAGAAATGCATTTAGTGTGTGTAATAATCCTGCTACTCTATCAACCTCCCAATCATTTAAAGCCCTCCTAAAGATCAAATCCCAACCTTGAGGGCTCATGTGGTTCCATGGCTTAGGCTAGGTCTACTTTCAAAAATTTAACAATATGTGCTACTATTAGCATGATTAAACTCTTCTATATATTTACAGTTCAAAATGCATAACATGTTTAGGATTTTAAAAAATCCATGTCTCTGTTTAATATCAACTTAGATGTGGGAAAAGTATTGTATATTCTACAATCTATCAAATAGTACTAAATCAATGCCTATGTTAAAAGAGGTTTTTCATGTGAAGATCTGACTGTGAATACATGTTCTTTTTCAGAGTATACATCACCTTCAATTGACAATTCAACGATTCATTTTCCCCTGAAATTCCAAAGTCACTGCCTCTCTGTGTTATTCTAGTGAGTAGTCACCAATAAACCTTCTCCTATGGGTAACAAGTGGGCATTTAAGTTTTCACATCTCCATGATCTCATTCGCAACACGTTATACACCAAAAAGTAGCATTATTTCCCCTAATTCTTCATGTTGTTTTGCGAATGCCTTCACATTTGTTAATGTTGCAGTCAATTACTACACAATCTGTTTCTGTCTGACCTTGTTCCTATGTATGATCTTTTCCTTGTGTAGATACTTTCAAATTGAATAGGAGTTAAGAATTAACATTAATTACTGTTGAGAATTAATATGTTGCATTCAGGGTTCATACATCCTTCTTTGCTTCCTATATTTAGTTTTCTTAGAAACTGGATAAATTCTTTTAAATCAGGCAATACACATAGCACTGGAAAGACTATACTGAAATTATTTCTTTGATTTCATGTAGCTGGTTGATTTTTTTGTAGGCTCTTTGTTTCATTTCATATTTTCATTTCTATGAAGTGCATCTCATTTACACTTATTTCTTTCTCGGTTGGTGTAGACTTCAATTCTAAATCTATCAGTGGTGCTTCTTGCTGTTGAAAGTGACTGCAAAACTACTCTTTTGAAGGCTCTGTGTTGATTTGTTTTGTAAGGTATGTTTTTTTTTCTAAGCCTTTCTTCTTTACTAATATGTTTTTGAAAATATTTCATGTATTTGTCCAAATTTTTTTGTCATTTCTTTTGCTATGTTATTTAATCTGGTCTTATCGACCATTTCTTAAGAGGTACTGGTGGTTGCGATCTTTTAGTGTATTCCATCGATTTTTGAGTAATGGTAACTACCACTATCCAAACTTTAATGTGTTCAATACATGTAATAAAAAATTGCAGAACTGTAAGAAGATTTAAATGCTACAAACAGAAAAGTATAAATACTTCACCTTTTTTCTTTAGGCTTTACATACTCTTCTATAAATTTAATGGGATCAGATTATAGGACTTATCTAACCTTGTTTGTAATTTTATAAATTTGTTGCGAACCTACTTTGTATATTTAGTTCCTAATCATAAATGTAGAGACTGTAGACCAGATCATCTTGATGAGTTTTCCAACTTTTCAAGAATTTCAAATGAACAGTGAATTTTTGAGCTTTAATTTTACATAAATAACATATGTTGTCAATATCTTGGTCACTGTTTTGGAGTTTAGTTGCAAGCAAATCTTGGTATATTTCTCATGTAATCACCATTTGATTCCCTCATTTGCTTTAAAATCATCTACAATGTTTGTTCTGCCATACATTCAAGAAAAAGGGTAACCATAATTAGATTTACATTATAGTTCCTAACGTTTTTTAAGAAGTAAGAGGTTGTATTAATAGTTATCATGGAGACGCAAGATAGCCACAAAGAAAATAGTTGATAACTTCAGGATTGCCAAAAAAATAATTGAGATCTGGGAGTTAAAACTTATAGCTAAAACTCAAAGTTGTTTAACTAATAGGAGGGAGCTAATGATGTCTATTGGGGAAATAAAATCATTTACACAAGATTTTTATAAATAACTAAACATATTATTGATGTTTAGAATGTACATTCAAAAGTTATTATTTTGAAATATTTGGTCTTTTACTATTTATATGTTGAATTTTCTTGAATTGCTAGATTTTTGTCATGTAATTTGACTATTCAAATTTGTGTAACCTTTGTTTTTACCATCTTTTGAGTACCTGGTTGTTATACTAATATATTGTTATATCTATTTTACATGCATGAAGATTATGGCACCTAATAAGCAATGGATGGAACTTATTACCAATAGACTTGCTAATGCTTATATAGATGGGGTAGAGAATTTCATGGATTATGCTTTTACAAAATTAGGAGAACCAATGTCGATCCGTTGTCCATGTATTAAATGTGGTAATGCAACTTCTAGAACACGTGTTGTAGTTAGGTCACATTTAATAGTGCATGGGATAATACCAAGTTATACTTTTTGGTATCACCATGGGGAGATGTTAGGTGAAGCACAATCAGATTTTGAATTTATAGATGATAATGACATTGAAGAGGATGATGGTGAGGATGAAATACATGGGTTGCTAAGAGATTTGTACCCCGATTTTGATGGAGATAATATGAATAATAGTACTGGTGATGATCTTCGGGAGGAGGAACCAAATGTTGAAGCAAAAAGATTTTATAGGTTATTGAAAGATCTTAATCTACCATTATATGAAATTGCAAAAGTTTCTATACTTTCTACTTTAATTAAATTGCTTCACCTTAAAAGTATTGGTCATTGGAGTAATGAGTCATTTACGATGCTATTAAAGTTTTTGAAAGATGATTTATTGCTTGATGGAACAAACTTGCCAGATTCATATTATGAGGCAAAGAAGGTAATTCGAGATCTTGGGCTTTCTTGTAAGAAGATTGATGCATGTAAGAATGATTGCATGTTGTATTGGAAGGATGATAATTGTCTTCAATCGTGCAAAGTTTGTGGTGCATCTAGATGGAAGGATGCTAAACATAGTGGGGAAACAAAATTGAAAAAAGGAAAAAAGATACCGTGCAAGATTTTACGTTATTTTCCTCTAAAGCCAAGACTTCAAAGATTATTTATGTGCTCAAAGACATCTCCTTTGATGTTATGGCATCATGACAAAAGAGTTGATGATGGAATAATGAGGCATCCAGCTGATTCAATGGCATGGAAAAAATTTGATGAACTACACCCATCTTCTGTAGCTGAACCTCGTAATGTACAACTTGGACTTGCTAGTGATGGTTTACAACCATTTGGAATGTCGAGAACTCCCTACAGCATTTGGCCTGTGGTACTTGTTCCTTATAATTTGCCCCCTTGGCTTTGCATGAAGCAAGAGAATTTTATTTTGTCAATGCTTATACCTGGTCCTAATGGTCCTGGTGAGCAATTGATGTCTATCTACAACCTTTAATAGAGGAGTTGAATGAATTATGGTAAACTGGAGTAGAGACATTCGATGCATCAACTAGAAAGAATTTTAAGTTACATGCATCTTTGTTGTGGACCATTAATGACTTTCCAGCATATGCCAATTTGTCTGGATGGAGTACAAAAGGAAAACTTGCTTGCCCATGTTGCAATAAAAAAACTAGCTCTACAAGGCTAAAAAATGGCCAAAAAGAGTGTTATATGGGCCACAGACGCTATCTTCCTCTTAATCACAAATGGAGAAATGATAAAGTGTCATTTGATAACACTGTTGAGCATAGGCTACCACCAGAAATGTTGTCTGGTGATGATATACTTGATCAAGTTGCTGATTTAGATGGGTTGCCATTAACAAAGGATCCACGGAAAAAGATTAAAATATCGCATAAGAAAAGGGGTGATAACTGGAATAAGAAGAGTATATTCTTTGATCTTCCATATTGGAAAACCTTATTGTTGCGACATAATCTTGATGTGATGCACATTGAGAAGAATATATGTGACAATATTTTGGGGACAATTTTAGATATCAAAGGGAAAACAAAAGACACATTGAGTACTCAGTTGGATTTACAAGAAATGAATATACGGAAAGAATTGCATCCAATACAAAATGGAGATGAATATGAGTTGCCGGTAGCATCTTACACATTATCTGTTGAAGAGAAGAAGAAAAAATTCAATTTTTTGAAGAATTTAAAGGTCCCAGATGGATTTTCCTCAAATATTTCTCAATATGTCAACCTTAAGGATAAAAAAAATTGGGATTAAAAAGCCATGATTGTCATATAATTCTACAACATTTACTGCCACTTGCCATGCGTGGTATGCTTTGCAAATCTGTGTTTGAACCACTTATTGAGTTGTCTATTTTTTTCAAAGTTCTTGGAGCAAAATGTTTGAGCATAGAGGAGTTGAAACAAATAGAAGCCCAAATACCAAAAACACTATGCAAGTTAGAAAAGGTGTTCCCTCCTGCTTTTTTTGATGTCATGGTGCACTTGTCTATTCATTTACCTAATGAAGCTAGGATTGCTGGACCAGTTCAATATCGATGGATGTATCCAATAGAGAGATACCTACACTTTTTGAAGTGTTTTATTGGTAATATGACATTATGTTCAAGGTAATTGAATACAATAAAGAAAAAAATTTACTTGTGCGGAGAGAAATTATGATGGTGGGGTAATTGAATCTGATGGTGGTTTAACCATATTTTGTGAGCCTGAAAAAAGTTTAAAGGGTAGTTCACCAGACAAACTTGATTCACATGATTTGGAGGAGGCACATTTTTATATTTTGAAGAACTGTGATGAAATTCAACCATTTCTCGAGTAAGTATTGATTAAATCTAATAATTTACTTCTATCTTGTCCATATTTCAACTTAAAATAACATGTAGAACTTCAATTCATTGTAGAGAATTTTCACAAATTCATAGTGAGGCCTCTCAACAAAGTTCAGATGTGGAGTGGAATAGACAATTAATTAGTTGGTTACAAAAGAAGGTGAGTAGAAATTAATTAATTTTCTTAGATTAAGTATGTAAATATTGTTTTCTAAAAGGGTATTTGATGTTGTTAGATTGCAGAGTTGTACAAACATGATGATAGTAAGAGAATGGCAGATTTGCTATCGTTATCATGTGGTCCTCTACCATATGTGACAAGATTCAAAGGCCATATTGTTAATGGATATAGGTTTCATGTGCAAGAGTATGATAAATATTTGAAAACTCAGAATTGTGGGGTAGTTGTAGTAGGTGAGACCGGTGAAGAGCAAAAACCTATGAATTACTATGGCGAGTTAACCGAGGTTCTTGAATTACAATTTGTTGGGGAGAGAAGAGTGATTTTATCCCAATGTACATGGTTCGATGTGTATGATCAGAAGAAGGGAGTTAAAATGGATGAATATGGCTTTGTAAGTGTTAATCGTCGGCGATGTTTGAAAATAAATGAGCCATTTGTATTAGCCAGCCAAGCATCACAAGTATTTTATGTTATCGATCATTCGAATAAAGGTTGGCATATAGTGCAAAATGTTCAACCTCGTGATTCTTTTGATATATTGGAAAAAAAGGATGATGACTTAGAAGTGTTAGATAACTCTACACAAATGAAAAGAAAAAGAACTCATTAAGGTTTGCAGCTTTATCATGCTTGCTTTTACTTTATTAATTTATTATGGTAATGATTCTTATAGTATTTTCTGTGAAAATTTGTTTAATAATCTTGGTCTTTAATGTTACCTTAATTTTACTAAAGTTTTAATGGTTTATGCGAGGAACCTGTGTTACATGTACATGTGTCTTTTTCTGAATGCGTTTTCAGTTAATATTTCATCTTATGAAAAACTTCCTTACCTATTTGATCTTTTGATTATTATTATTATTATTTTGTATTAGGTTGACATGAATCCCTCAAAAACTCTGAAGTATGAAATGGGACAAGCTTCAAAAATTCCCAAGCATGGACTCATTCAACCTGGTGCCTTAGCAAAGGGACTAGGTCAAAGTTTGAAAGTTATGAGCACTACAAGAGTTAATGCTGAACAAAGGACTTCGATTTCCAAAATTAGAAGTTACAATGCCACAACTTCTAAGTTGAATAAGCTAGCAGACAATAGCTTCCATGTGCATCCTTGTTTTGATGAAAAGGAAGACAATGCTCCCTTCCATCAAGGAACTGAAATGAATCAATACACTTTGACTAGTGGTGCAACAGCTCGAGGACAAACCTTAGGGATTAATGTTGAAAAATCGACTCTGATTGACAAAAATAGAAGTAATACAACAACTTCTAGTCGAAATAAGTCAGCAAAGACTAGTATCCCTGTGCCTCCTAATTTTTATCCAATGGAAGAAGATGACACCCTCTTTCAAGAATCAAAAGTTACTCGAGATGCTCAAAGAAGTGATAATTTGAAAAAGAGTTAGTCCAGTTAATATATTTGATCAAGAAATTTTGATTAGCTTTCTTTACTTAATCTTTTTTGTATTCTTTCTGTTATTAAAAATGGGCATGAACTTCTTATTTTGGTTGACTTTCATCAAAATTTGCAGGTGCATTTGAATTTGATAGGTCAAAAAAAGTAATTGGAGTGCCTCGATCTGCTCAAAAAAGTGATACTAGTATGTTATTTTATTTGTACAACTTTTTTTTGTTAGTTGAATTGAATTGTTAGTTTTTATAACTTGCACTTAAATTTGCAGGTTCGTTTGAATCTAGAAAAGCAAAAAAAGTGTTTGAAGTGGCTCAAGGTGCTAAGGAAACTGAAACTAGTATGTATTTTCTTTTATGTAATATTTTCATGTTGTTACTTGTAAAGCAGTCAAAATATTACCTTGCCTTGCTTCCATCTGCAATAGATATGTTAGCATATGATAGTTCCATAAGCAGTGTTCCTGCAATAAACATATTGTAAGCTTAACTTTTTTGCACATTGGATGAAATCTGAAGTTTGGTAAGCCCCTCATAATCTTCAAGACCGTAGTTAAAGACTCCATAACCAATATAAATAGCAGCGGAGACATGGGGTCACCTTGTCGTATTCCTCGTTTTTCCTCGAATAACCATTTTCTACCTCATTCACCATAACAGAATACATGGGAGGTGTTACATATCATAATCAACTTCACAAAGCCATCTAGAAACCCATAACCAAGTAAAGCTTCCTCGAAAATTTCTAACTCAGCATGTCATATGCTTTTTGGAGATCAATCTTCATCAAACATCTGAGACTGGTTTTCCTATTGTAATGCCTTCATAAGTCATGATATATTAAGACATTGTGGACCATAGATCTCCCTTGAACAAAAATTGATTGATTCTCTGCTACCAAGTAACTTACACATATTTTAGTTTTTGACAAATCAGTTTGACTTTATAGATCACAATACAACACGAGATAGGTCTGCACTGACTAGCATTTTCAGGAACAAGGACATTCGAGATAAGGGAAATATTAATAACATTTAGCAGTCTTAGTAATTGGCCATTCCGGAAGAAATCCAACAGTTCTTTAGCAACATATTTCCCATGATATCCCAAGCTTCTCTGTAGAAATCACTACCATAGCCATCAGGACTAGGACTGCTTTTCATATCAATACTACACACAACTTTCCTAACATCCTTTGCATTAAGAAGTTTCAATATTTCCAGTTGTTTTTCAATAGCTTGCTTCAATTGTCTCTGTTTAATAACTGAGTAAAAATACCTTGTGTTTGCATCTCCAAGCCTGATCCAGTTTGCCTGACTTCTCTATAGTAGGAACATCTCTGCTAAGTTAGAAGCTTGTTTGAATTATACCAGTTTTTTGTTACGACTATTGTCAGCATTATTATCCTGAGTGTTATTCAATTTATTCTTCTTTTCATTGACTACTACTTCCTTGTGATTCTATGTTGTGCATTTTTCCTTTGAGATTATGTCACTATTGTTATGGGCTATTTCACCTACACCACTGCTTTTATTTGCTTTATTTAATTTCCTTTGTATCCTTCTTGTTAGTAATGGGAATGAACTTCTTATTTCAATTGACTTGCATCAAAATTTACAGGTCTGTTTGAATTTGACAAGATCAAAGAAGTGATGCTACTATTTTATTTTATTTGTGTAACTTTTTTTAGTAAGCTGAATTGATTTCTTGGGCATTTTGACTTACAGTTAGTTTTGCAGGTTTGTTTGAATCTAGAAAAGCAAAAAACGTGGTTGAAATGGTACAAGATGCTGAGGGAATTGAAACTAGTATGTATTGTCTTCTACGTATTTTCTAATAGTTTCTGCATTGTTACCTATAAAGCAGCTAAAACATTATCTTGCCTCACTTCCATAGGCCCTGAGAATCTAAGAGTAACAAGACTTCACTATGAAAAGACCAAATTGTTTCCCCTTCCATTTCAAGCTATCCTCACTGTTAATAAGATCTTTAAAAGAAGTTAGGAGACCCACAAATTCTATAGAACTCTCCTTATCCCAGTCATTTAGATTCAAGTATGTTCTAGTTGTCTCATTCTTCACTTTGTGCTACAGTGGGATTGAACTTCTTGTTTGGTTTTCCTTACTATAGATTTTGCAAGTCAATGTGAAACAGAAAGGGCAAAGAATGTGAGGGGAACAAATATTTGTAAGAATGTTTTGCGATTGAGACCTGGAAAAAAATTAAAAGTCACTTTCTATCAAAATCGAGTCGTTGGGCAGAATCACACCTCATTTACGAGACACTTGGGCTTGATAGTTAGTGATCGTAATATGTGTCCACTCCGGGTACACTCATGGATGGACATTTAAGAGCATAAGCTTGAGCACATGTGGGCAGCTGTTACTATAAGGATTACAACACATCTATCTCTTCTTTTTACTGATAACTGTCAAGAATCCCTTTATAAAAAGTATTGGATGTTTTAGTTTGAAACATGACTCTTGATTTCACATTCCTTCTCCTTTAATAACAAAGTATAGTTACTCAGTTTCAATGGATAGATAAAAATTCTCACATTTCGTCTTTTCTCGTTAGCCTATTTGATAGTTAAATCTCTTGCCACTACCTGCTAATAAGAGGCTTTTGAAAAGTTAACTTTATTCTTCCACTGTAACTCCTTTGGATGTTAATATTATTAGTTTAGTGTGGCTATAGTTAATATGATTCTGCAGTTGGTAAAAACTATCAATTATTGTTTTTCAATTTTATGTTATAATTTCAATGTGTAACCTTCATCTTAACAAAATTTGGACATTTCTCAGTCATAGCAGTGTATTGATATATACT